GCCTGATTCTTGGGGAAAAAGAAGTCTTAAGCAATACTCCTATGTAAATGCCTATAATTTTAAAATATTAAGATATGAATGTATAGGAAGTACCTAGCTACTTCTCTCCCTCCTCCCCTTCCTTCCTTCTATACCGGAATTTTTTTTTCAATAAATGACAATGTTTGCTTTATTTTAACACCTTCGCCTGTGGTCTTATTTTCTATAATACTGGTATAGTAGTTGGCACATAGGAGACAGTAAATAAACTTTTATTAACTGACTAGTTGCTTTATTACATAATAGACCCTGTGCTAAATTTCAGAGATACGAAAAGCCTAAGATAAGATATTTGTCATTGAGAATTTCATTCCCCACATGTGTAGGAAAGGAGAGGAGGTAGATAATTAATACACAATAGGACTAGTATTCTGTCGGCAGCACATACAATGTGCAAAGCTTAGAGGATCTGGGCCACATCCTGAAAGATAGGTGGGAGGTGAGAGGAAAGCTGGTGAGTGATGGGAATGGCATTCCACACACAGGGCACAGTGTATTCGATGGCAAGGAGGCAAGGAAGAGATGACGTGTTTGGGGAACGTGTGTATTTCTATGGAGCCTCAGCATAAGGTCCCCGAGAGAACGTGCCAGGAGGAACGGCTGAGAAGGTGGGTTGGAGCAGGTCACAATATCCTTATGAGCAATGCCTGGGACAATCCGACTTACAGACTCTACCAAAGGAATGGTTTGTGCTGGTGATAAAACAAACCATGCCTCAGAGGTCACGGTGAAAGAGAAAATGAAAGAAAAAGAGAAAGATTCACTTTACATTTTAAATAATGGTTCCTGTCAGTTTCAACAATGTAATTGTCCCACTTGTTTGATACGAGAATATGTGATATTTTCCCCGTACAGTGTTTTTCAGATCCTAGCTGTCTGAATTCAGGAAACTCTGGAAATGAAACAGTACTCCAACTATGCAGCTGAAAAAATGAAACTAGCACAAGTATTTGATTTTTCTGTTATTTTCTACTATGCAAAACTCAAAGCTGTAATTCATTCAAGTCTAATCAACATAGAGACATCACAAAACATAATATCCTGATATCTTATCATGAGGACTTCTGACTTAGGGGTCGAGAATGGGAGGAGCAGACACCAAATGCCTGCCGGCCTCGCTGACCCAGTTTGATGATGAGGCAGCAAACATCTCGCTCCACTCACTGCCAAGACGAACAGTGTCAGTATTGATCACTTTGCCTCACTCCTGCATTTCTAGATGTTCCTGTCTGGCTCCTCTCTTTGAAAACCCAGAGTGACTGGCCCCACCTGGCACTGGGCTGAGCTTAATCACACATACCACACACATCACGTCGCACTGCCTGGAACATCCACTCCTGTCTCACTACCTGGAGGCACCTACTGTAGGTGACAGATGATGCTCTTGGGCTGGTGAAGCTGTTCATTTTCACATCTGGAACCAATTTTCACAAAGGAAAGGCACTCTACTAGCCAAATATCTCAGGGTTTTCCATTTAGACAGGATGGTCCCTGAATGAAAAATACCTGATATACAGAAAGTTGCAGTAGAACGGCAGCTTGAGTGCAAAAGCTGAACACCAACACAAAAGCAGTGCTTTGGAAAAAACATTGTCCCAAGGTGAGCCCTGAAGATGCAGACTCATCTTCAGGAAACAGAGGACTAAGTATTTTCACCACCACCCCGGTGTTTCATAGAGTAAGTACTCAGAGCACATTGCCTGAATGAAATCAAGAATATCCCTGGTTCCGCAGAACTGCAAGCAACGCTAGTTGGTTGATGGCCCCTTTAGAATGCTGTTTAAAAAGTCCCAGCAGCAATGCCACCGCCCTGATGCCACGCCTTTTGGTTAAAAGAGGCACATGGAGCCCACACTATGGCCATTTAGGGGGCTCTATTTAGATGAGATATCCTACATAAAATATAAATATATGCAGAAAGAAATTTGCTAATTATCTAAAAGAATTTGAAATAAAATCATCTGTATTTTTTTGGTGAAAAATCAAAATGCTTTGGTTATTATGGGACTTTTGTTATCTTGAAGGGAGAAAAAAACTGCTTTAGAGAAATTGCAGAACTTCTCTCTTGCTTCCTCACACTCAAGTTAAAAATAAAGACATTGTGCTAAAGCCAGTGGTATTCAGTTTCCATTCCAAAAGAAGCTGAAACTGGGCAGGTTGCTACATACAAAAGAAGTTAAAAGAGTACGCTGTGATTAATGGGTGGTGACAATGGTACCCAAACATCCTAATAAGTAGTGGGGGTCGCAAGAAGAAACTCTTCACTATCAGTCACTTTATGCTCCCCAATTAACCACAGGCTTCCCTAAACAACTAGCATGTTTGCTTAAGGATGCCAAACTTATTTTGGGCCACTGAATATTCATAATTCAAATCACCCATACTTACATATCACACCTACAACTACCATCGAGACCATGAGCTCAAGGAGGACAGGAACTATGTCTCACCTACTCCCTACGAACTACATAGTGGCTGCGATGCCATGTCCCCTACAGCCTTCCTCGATGGCTCATCCTCAGCAGAAGGCGCTCACCCTGTGGTGTCCCGCTGCATTGAGTACCAGCACTACCCACTGGTCTCAAGATTTTAGTACATTCTCTGTCCTTGAAATATTTCAAGCCCTTGAAAAATTAAAAGATCTTTCTCAAAAAGCAGCAGGGATCCAAATCTTAAACAATCCAGACTAACAACTAGCCATGAGTAGCCACATATTACTTAAGCTAAATGACAGTATGCCCATTTTATCTAGTACAGTTATCTTTGATTTTAAAACAAATGAATCATTAGAGTTCTGAGTCTCTACTAACAAAGAAATGCACCGTGAGCTGAATGCTCAACATTGTGAGTGTCATCAGAAAGGTTCTATAGATATGAATTGGCCAAGCTAATCCTCCTTCATTATTTCAATTGGTTAACAATGCACACAGGTGATTTACATACAATAACTACACAGACATGGGCATTTGACATAGTAACTTCCCCACAGACTCCAAATCTTCAGTAAACAGCTCTCAACAATTCATTATATTCATAATATAGGCCAGCACACTCCTCTTAAATATGCATGAGATTAAATACCACCCACCTTACAAACTGTTAATCATCATTTTAACATAATTTGTCACCTTTTAGATTCTGTAATTATGATAGCACCTAGGTGCTGCCATATAAATGTAAATTTAACTACCTGGCTCTAAGTTATCAGTAATATATAACTAATTCCACTTTGGATTCAATGTTTAACATACATTCAAATGAGAATATTTTATAACACAAAGTAAAATGTATTTATAAAGTTCACATGCTTTATGACGTAGAAATGTCTAATTTAAAATTGTATTAACAAAGCCTAAGTTAATTTTCTTGGACTTATATAAGACAAATAATTCAAGATTAAAATTTATCAAGCAGTTAGCTTATAATTTATTGACATCTACAAGAAAAAGTACCCTGTGAAGTGTGGACTATCATGATGTCGTATTTCTCATTAAATATTTTACAGACTTTATAAATTCTACATTTTTGCAAATTATGACAACAAAGACTGGATTTGATCCAAAATAAAGCCAACAAAAAACCCAGCAGAAAAAAATAAACAAAGGTGAAAAATACATAGTTAACCTTGGATGTTACTCTAAAGTTCATGAGTCGTGTGGCCACAGATTATTAACTTGAGCATAATAATGAAAATAACAGTGACAGCCACAGTGCACGTGTGGACAAGAGCTTCCTTAACTGACTATGTCAGGCACAATAATTAGCACTTTCCATTCATATGTTATTTACTCTTCACAATGATTCAGTGAAGGAGATAGTAATATCATGCGCAGGGGACGTGTACAGCTGACTACATGACTTGAGTTACTACTTCCTTGCATGGCCTTGGTACGTCACCTGAAGTCTCTAAAGCTCATTTCCTTTAGCTCCTAGATGCAAGTAATACACTTATGCCAGAATTATTGAGAACTAAGTAAAGACAGTTTATAGGAAAGTATTATACAGTTGTGCAGCTGTGTCATTGTTACGTTATTGATGAGACAAAATGAAACATTGAAAATGAAAAAAAACTGTTTATTGGTTCTCGGCCAGGATTTCCCAACAAAAAAAGTATACCTAAGTAAACTCCTGGTTGTTTTACCTTGCTTAAGATATACCCTATTACATAAAGGCAAATATGAATCAATATTTTATTATACCTTAGGGAAGATGGACAAGCCCTAATAGATGAAGTCAGAAGGGAAGAGTAAAACTAGAAATGTAACTTTGTAAATGGTTATTATGAAAACTGTGTTCTCACCACCAGCTCTGGCCTTCCATGAAGTGCTTCAAAACGGAGGCTTTTTAAAGTTCCCTGCAGTCACTACCAGGCTCTAACTCACTATGACCCACACACACATTTTCACGTGTGGCAGTGTTGAAATCCTTAGGCCCAGGGAGGAAAATCAGGTTTCCAGTGCCATCATTCACCCTTTTAGATAAAAAGGGTGTGATCGTTGGGCTTACTTTTTCATAGAGCTTTTTAGCTTAAAAATCACTTCATATGCATATGTCAACCCAGATTAAAACAGGTATTTGAAAATTTGAAGTCAGGAAGCTAAAATTCGCCAAGGTTAATGATAAGATATCTATATATCTGTGCAATGATGTTGTGCTGCATGTGTGTGTGAGTGTGCAGGTATCTGTCATGTGATTTTATGGGAATATCTACTAGCGGCCCACTTTTCTTAATGTCTATATTATTAATGATTGAGAGAAAGTATATATAACCAAAATAAAACACAGGAACGAAGTAGCTACATATTTCTAGTACTTCCTTTATTCACGTTCAAGATGAGGAATAAAGGAAACCTTCATTTGCATAAACCTACAAATACAAAGTCACAATTTCACACATTGAGACTTGATGATTGTAAGAAGAAAACCGTCCAGGTGTGCAGCGTCCCCAGAGCCCCGCCTACCTCCCGGCCGTTCGTGTTCCCCATCCGTGTGTAGAAGCATGGCAATGGGCATCCCTACGTTCTTGGATCTTCCGGCCACAACCACATTTTTTCCAAATGTTTCGATTCCTTAAAACAAAGTTCGATTTAAATAATCAACAGCAGGAAGCAAATAAGCATTTGAACAGCAGCTGAAACACTCTTTAAAAACTTCTAATTAAATTTGGATTATTGTGTGGCTTGTCTATAATGTGTCCATATTCATTATTTATAAATATTCTTTTAATACCTCTTGGATTTGTCACTTCCTCTATGATTATGTCCTCATGGAAAAAACTCACAAATATTTTCAAGTTGCCATTAAATTGTTTTTAAATCATTTTTTATTGTTATTCTAGTACGGTTGTCCCAATTTCTCCCCTTTGCCCTCCTCACCCATCCTACCTTCACTTCCCACACTGTGGTCCATGTCCATGGATCACTCATACATGGTCTTTGTCTAGTCCCTTCCCCTTCTTTCCATTAAATTACTTTTAAGTATTGAGAGTTAGAAGAGTATGAAGAGTTAGAGCTACAAAGGCTTAAAACACACTAACTGCTAATTACAAAGTAAGCAAAGTACAACATTGCCAAGTTTAACTGGCGATCACACTTTGAGCACAACTGGAACAAAATGAAGTAGGAAAAATGTATTCTTCACAAAGTTCATGCACTTTACTCTGTAGGAGACAAGCATTAAACTTAGGGACTTAAAAAGATGTAAAATACAAAGCAGCAGATTTAATACACTTTACCTCTTTTAGGCATAGTTTCTTCATACGTAAAAAGAAAATGATAGAGTTGCCCCCCCGCCGCCCGACTACTAAGATTCTAAGGGTATAATTCTAGAATCTGCTTCCTCTTAGAAATGTTCTCTTTCCATTGGAAAAAGCAGGTTAGAAAGGAGAAGAGGCTGTCACACATGGCAGTGACAGCGGCAGAAGCAGGAGAATAATCAATATAGAAGGCAATCAAAAGGCAATATGGGGTCAGTTAATGTAGAGGCAAATGTCTCTATACACCTGTGAGATTTACATGGGTTTTTAGAGCATAATTCAAAGGTAAATTTTTGTATTAAAAACTTAGGTCATTAGAGATGATTCAAATATGTTCAGCACATTCTGTTTTTAAAGGTAGGAAAAATACAATACACTTTAGAAAATGCACATTAAAATACACTGTTTTTATCTTAAAAGTAAGGAAGCAAACCTATTACTAGAAAATTCACTCCCTGTAAGATGCAAACGCAATTACCCCCAGTGTATTTTATTTGGGATTATTTTTTGACTTACACAACTTTACATTTTCCCATAGGTTAAAGTTTTATGGCTTATCATTTTCTTTCACTCAATAGGACTGAGTGAAAGGCATTCCATCGAGGCAATGTACAAAATGCGTGGTTTGGTACAGAGCGCTCATGTCCCACAGACCACAAGTTACCCACCTGTCCTCTTGATAATTTCCCAGACAGCACTGGCAGTGGCAGGTATGAGAGAATGCTGGTCAAGGCACAGTCTTCCAATATTGATAATATGAAATCCATCTACGTCCTTTTCGGGGGCAATCCCGTTGCATACTGTTCGCTCATCCACATGGTCTGAAAAGTAAATAAAATTGGTCTAATTTTACAATTGTTTTTTACTTGGCAGCCTCGAAACTGAAATGTGAGGACCTACAACCAGATCACTTATGAATCCACTTCAGTAAAGGTGCAAAATTCTCATTCTGTTTTTTTCCTTCACCCCAAAATAGTAAGACAAGTGACCTATTCTCACTCAGCGCATTTAACTGCTGAGTGAGAATAGGCAAATACAGGGCCAGCAGTGGCTGGCTGATGAAAGGAACATGTCTGCCAAATAAAACAGTACCAGTGAGATCTGGGAACGCTCAGGTGAAAAGTCTTTGTTCTAGTAAGTTCGCAAATTTAAATCTATGTTTTTACCATATACACTTTCACAAATGGGCTTTTATTAAATATTTCTAGCATTAGATGAATAGGGTTTTGTTCATGTTAAAAATAGTCATAACATCATTAGCGCCTCGATTCATCCCAGAAGACATAACAAAGAAGCAAAGATTGAGCACACACAGACATACACACACGTCATTTCCCCGAAGCACTAGCACATTGAAATCCAAAACAGCATTACGGTTTCCTATCTGAAAGAAAAAGAGTGTAACTTGAGTAATGAACTAATCAAATCAGATATGAGACGCCAATGGTCTCATTTTGAAAAGTAGTAAGAATAGAAGTATAAAATAGGCTTTTGCTACTCTATGAAAAGTGGCTTAGCTTACCTTTGAGCCGACAATTAACCCACATACATAAAATATTAAACTAAAGGTGTGTTTGTTACATAAAATTTCTTTGTCCATTACACAATAAATGCCACTCAGATATAATATTTAAGAACATTACCAAAGACCAAGTTTGAGTTGTTTTCAAGGACCGATGCCTCGCACCTTGGACCCTTGGTGGTGTACAAGGGACGCTACTGCCTCTTCCTTTAGAGAGATCTAATTTGTCATTATTGGACTACCAAGTCCTTTACATATACAAAAGCAGGCATCTGCATCATAGTCAAATAGAAATTGGGTGTTTGGAATATCTGCCCAATCAACAGTTTTTCACTTTCAATAATTTTATTCATTCTATAACTTTCTAAAAGGGTAAGAACTCCATTTATTTTCTCTGAAGTTAAAAGGTAATTATATGGGTTCTAGCAAAAAATTTCAAAAGTTACATGTTCATTTTACTATCTGAGGACCAAAAAGATGTTCTTTTTTCAATCTGGATGGTGATGATTATGAGTATGGTAATAATGTTGATGATTCAGTTTTTCAACACTTACCACTCACACAGAAGAAGGTTCATGTCATGGGTATTTTTAAAAATGAAATCAAAAGCTTTGTAGTTTTTTTAAACATATATTTGAAATCTCTATTATTGCTCTAAGGCTTAAATTCGTTCATCTCTAAGTTCAAAATTGGCTAATGTATGTATGGACTAACCATTAACTGAAAGAATTCTACAAAGGCTCATTTCTAGAGTTTGAGAGCCATCTTCTTATACTGAAGTTTGCCATCCACTGGTCTGTACTGTTTCATTCACTAAAAACAGCAATAAGTTGTAACAAATAATCTATCTCACACAACAGCTGAGAGAATAAAGAGGAAATGTATTGCACCTGAAACTCAGGAGGGAAGCACTAGAGACTGGTGACTACAGACCAGTCCTGTGATGGACTCCTTCACCTTTGACTCCGATCACCATTTAGAACACTTTTACCTTATGCTAATTATATGATAATTGTTTAAAGACAAATGGGTGGACATACAAAAGGTGGGAGGTGCATGAAAACTGCTTGTTCATGTACTGGTTATTTAATCTAAAAGGAAAAAGAACCTATTTCAGTAGTTTAAAAATGTTTACATAGTAAAATCAATGAAACCAATTCATACGTCGTTTTTATGTTCTATGTTAATTCAACAGTGAGTTAAATCTCACAGTTTTTGCCTGGAGAGATGTACCTTTTACTATGCAATGTGTAGCATACAGCAGTAGTGGGAAACAGTATATCTTACATTTCCACGGTGCTCTACAGTGTTCATGTATCTTCACAGTTACTGGGGACCAAGATGAAGCTCAAAGAATTTGAGACAGTCCACAACAAACCACTGCTAGGAGGAGGAGCTGGAATTCAAATACACATCATTTTGCCCTAAAACCAGTTTTTCCTTACGTATTACATAGAAACCATAAATATTAAGCATCTTAAATGCTGCTTAACATTTAAAACTAGACCCCCATCCCTTCTATTCCAGACATTTGATAATTCTAAATTATCAAGTGTCTACATATCCCAAGGAATGCAATGTACTGTTTTTTTTCCAGGCCTTCAAATATAACACTATTACTAGATTCACTAATATGTGTCTAAATGCATGTATCAAACATTTATAACCAATTCTACCTTTTGCCATATGAGTAAGAGAAATAAATTCCTTTCATGCTTTTGACTGACTGCTACTGAAAGTCCTAGATATCCCACTCCTGGGGCCCATGTCTTGGAGAGAAGGAATAACCATGAGACTCAATAGCACCAGTTTTTTCCCCTCAGTGGTTGTAAAACCTTTTCGATTCATCATGCATTGGCAAACAGTTAACCACTTAATATCCCACTCAAATGAATGGGAAAACTGGCATTATTCACTTTGTGTGTCTTGTCCCCTTCTATTTAAGATCATGAGAAGTCATTAAGTCATGCCAGAGAAAAAAGTCATCGAATTAAAACACTGTAATAGGACAGCTCGGGGAATGTCCCGAGGGACCGCAGTATAGAACTGTAATTTATTTATAGTACGTTTAATTGCCTTTGGACAAGGCACAGAAAAAAAAGGATCGATACACATTGCTGGTCTATTTTCCACCCAAGGATTTTTACAGTAATTTGCATTAAAATACCTCGTCGCACCTCCCAATGCCTGTGGGATAAGTACAAGTTCATTAGCACAGTACAGTGTATATCCTTTGGCTTGATTATATCTTTTTCTCATTGTTTACTCTCTTCAAGTGCTCCATCCTTTTCCAGTTAACCTCATCACACAGTTTTGACTCCAGTCACACCAAACCATGTCCCATCCCCAAGCTCTTAGCATTAATTCTTACATTTCTGTGCTGTTGCCCAGGATTATTTTTCAATACTTGTTTCTTTCTCCTTGTTCATTCACACCCAACTTATTCTTCAACACACTGATCTGTCGCTACCTGTTTGCTCATCACAGATTCAAACAATACTTTTTTTCCTCTGCTCTCCCATAGAACTGCTATAAAAAGTTCTTAGCGCATTAGTTCAGTTAGTTGATCACATTAGTGATTTAATTACATCTCTCACTCATGAGTGTGAGCATTTAGGGCACAAACTTCTCTTATTAAACTGATTCACCCATAGCCTTCTCCATCTCAGTTGATGGCAATTCCATCCTTTTGTATAATTTGCCAAAAAAAAAAAACCCGGAGTCCTTCTGAACACCTTACTTTCTTTCCTATCCAGCATCCAGTACGTTGGAGAATCTGTTAGCTCCTCATTCACAGCACATCTAGCACGTCACCACTCTCACTGCTGTCCATTGCTACTTCTCTGTTTGGCTTTGTTCTCTCTGGTGAATTCTCGAAACAGCCTCCTAATTATTTCCCTGCTCTGACACTTGCATCCATACAGTCCACTCACAAAATAGCAGGTGTTATATTTGTGAACTGCATGTCTGATCACATCACTCATCCCGAAACCTTGCTCTTCTTACTGTTCCCCAACCATATCAGTCTCTTCCCACCTTGGCTGTCTCTTTTCTGCCTGCCTGGAGCCTTTTCAAAAACAAGAAAGAAAGAAAGGAAGAAAGGAAGAAAGAAAGAAAGAAGGAAGGAAGGAAGGAAGGAAGGAAGGAAGGAAGGAAGGAAGGAAGGAAGGAAGGAAGGAAGGAAGGAAGGAAGGAAGAAAAGAAAGAAAGAAACCATCACTGGCTAAATCCCTCTCCTATTTCAAATTTTTGCTTAAATTCCACATTCCTTATAAGGACAATTCTGACCACGTTATTTAAAATGTATGTTCCATTTCTGATAATGTTGAAGTTATTTACACTGGACTCCAAAGAAAAATAAGCAACTCACAAAAACCTGTAAATATTAGAAAATTATATTAAAAAACAACTATTTGAAAACACTGGAAAGTCACTAGAAGTAGAAAGATTTTTGGAGGCTACTCCAGACCCAAGACAACTGGAATCTGGATAGAAATTTGCAGTCTTACTTTCATCAAGAATCAAATAACAGCCCTGGCTGCTGTGGCTCAGTGGACTGAGTGCCGGCCTGCGAACCAAAGGGTCATCTGTTGGATTCCCAGTCAGGGCACATACTTAGGTTGCGGGCCAGGGCCCCATTAGGGGCATGTGAGAGGCTGTTTCTTTTTCTCTCTTTTTCCTTCCCTCTCCCTCTCTAATTTTTACTGAAAGGGAAAGCAAAGGGCAAGAGGGATAAATTTCCTAAGCCTCTGACTGATTGCTGAACAACACACTATGGGAAGCCCCTCTAAGGCTAAGAGAACTAACCAGCCTGTAGCTGTGGCTCACCAAGAGTAAAGCAAAGCTTAAAGTCCTAAATATAAAAAACATACAGCTAACATTGTATCTAATAATGAAATACTGAACCTTTCTCTCAAGATTGGAAGTAAGTAAGGGTGGCCATTCCCACCACTTGTGTTCAATGTTTTATTGGAAGCCTTACTTAGTTGGTATAAGGAGAAGAAAAAGATGCCTAAAGTTCAGAAAGGAAGAAATAGAACCCTCTAGTCACAGATGCTATGATTGTTTACGCACATATCCTAAAGATTTACAAAACAAAAGAACTAATAAAACAAATTTAGCAAGATCCCAGTAAAAAGTCAATACACAAAGAAATCAATTGTATTTTGCATACAAGCAGAAAATGCTAGAAAATTAAATTAAAAAATTTATTTATAACAGAGTTCAAATCATAAAACACTTAGGAGTAAATTAAAAATTTTTGAAGATAAACTCTGTAAAGAAAATGACAAAATACTG